GCTGCCTGGCCTCTCAGGATATTATTATTGTTCTTGAGTGCTTCCTCTAAAGATGAGCAACTCTCAGTACAAAGCCGCCTGTCTCTCGTCTCCGTTCGGACATGAAAAGTGAATGTTTTTCCTCTACTTTGAGTACCCGTTGATAATGTCTACCACCTGCTATTGTCTTTAAAAGGACATCAAACCACAAGCTAATCCTGGCCTGCAACAGAACGTGGATGCCTGGTTCTCACCAGGTCCTGACAGGATGTTTTGTACATTTTAGGAATTATAATGGGGCACTCAAACAATAATACTTTTCGTAATCAAAACATGGTGCTTACTACTTAATAGGATTAATAGATGGATTTGTGTTTTTTTATTGTAGCATAACCATATTCTCCTTCCCTAATCCTTCACAAATTACATTTACATTTAGTCATTTAGCAGATGCTTTTATCCAAAGCGACTTACAAATGAGGACAATAGAAGCTATCAAAACCAAGAAAAGAGCAATAAAATGGAAGTGTTATGAAAAGTCTCGGTTAGCCCAACTGATTTTTTTTACGTACATGTATATATACAAAATTTCATAAGTAATTTGGCACATTTTAATGTAATAATATTAACCGCAGAATGCATAATGGGGCCAATTTTGACCCCACATGTTGTGATTTTAAAAAATATTCATAAAATAAAATAATCTGGTTTTACTTTAATCCATCTATTTAACTTGTTTTTTGGTTTGGTTTGGTTTGGTTCGGTTCTCTCTCTCTCTCTCTCTCTCTCTCTCTCGCTCTCTCGCTCTCTCGCGCTCGCTCTTTCTCTCTCTCGCTCGCTCGCGCACACACACACACGATGCGCAAAACTCCACATTTGAACAGTCTTCTTAAACTAATAACAAAACAGTAGCTGATTCAGAAGCGCCAGATTGTCATAGCAAAGTCAGAATTACCTCCTCTCCTAGGTTCACAAAATGGTCGTCCATAAAATGCATTGCTGTTCTGTTGTAAGTCATCTTAAAGATTCCTAAATGCATCTACTTTCTGGAAGGCCAAATAAAGTGCTTTTGCTTTCACCTAGAAACACACAGCGTCTCCCTGACATGCTGCTTCAACACTAACTGCGGTTACTGAAACCACGCCGCCTTTCTTTGCGTGAACATTTGGGCGGCATTATGCAAATATTTCCACATAGTGAGGTAGATATGTGGGGGTGTGTTAGAACGAGCCGTTTTAGGAGGGTGTGGCAGAGTCTTAACTTTGATAAAGAATATCTCTTTGGTTTTGAGACTTTAGTCTTTGCAACTTCTTATCTAAGCACAATCAGCTTGTAACACTCCAAAGAGAAAGGAAAACTTGAAATTGCATCATATGACCCCTTTAAAGTATTGAATTTGTTGTATTAGACAATACAACATTATGAATAAGCTAGTATACATTTAGAAAACATTGAAGTCTGTCATTTTTCAAAGAATGAAACATCTAATGATTTTTTTCAAGACTTTCTATTAAAACATTCTTAAATGTAAAGATTTTCTTGAACACGGTTCCAGTCTGTTTTGGGGTGAATATTTATGCACAACTTAAGCCCCTTGACTTTTTGACCACTTGCTCCATACTGGTTGGAGCATACTGTATCATGTTGTTCTTTATAGAAAACAGAGTGGGTCAAATTATACAATCACACCTGTGTAGTCGTGTGTACCCTCCTGAGTGCTGGACCTTGGCCCTCCTTTTGGTCAAATAACAATGGAGCTGTCTAGGTGATGGAATAAGCCCCTCTCAGGCCGTCCCTGCCTCTACATCCTCATGAGGCCTTGTCCACCCTCGAGTCAGAGTAACTGTATCCCAGATTAAGTCTTTCAATTAATGTCTGCTCAGTTGTTGTGTTTGGAGAGGTTGCCATATGACGTTTGGTCTTTTGCAGTATATTTTTACGATGTTTAATGTGACTCATTGCATTAGCTCAGTGAGAGAGAAAAAAATGAAAAACTGCTCATAGTAACTCACTAAGTAAGTGTTTTAGCTCATATATGATTCTCCACACTTTACAGCACCAGTTCTCATCATTCTTAAACGCACAGGAATCCCATGAGTTTCCAAAGGCTTACTCAAGCGCTGACATGCTGTGCACTTGGCCAAAGCATCAATGAATATGTTATGTATATGCATGCTTATCCTCCTACATGCAAACCCTCATTACGTTGGCCCCTACACACGGATTTGAGAAATGCCTCTCAATATCCAACTCGCCAAGGAAAGGGAGTCCACCTAATTGGCAAGGAAAAACGCACTACTACAGCCTGAAAGTATGCAGTCACTTTGAGCTGTTGAGATGGATTTTAAGCCATCACACAACCAATCCCTCCCTGCATTTGCCGATGTGAAATAGCCTGCTTACCTGTCAGTTGTAGTTTCCGCAGTGACAGTGATGAAACTGTTGAAGAGTTGATCATTTCTCCAGGACAAATTCCACCGGAAATTCCGACATTCAAATTGAATGCAAGCTCACAAAGTACAATAACATGCACTGTTTTCTGTAAAGCTTTGGTTTCAGAAATGTGCTTATTTTTGCAGCTCCAAAAAAAAAAAGTCATATATGTGTGTATATATATATATACACACATATATATATATACACATATATATATATGTATAAAGTTATATAAGTTAATTCTGTTTTATGAGTCATTTATTTACTGTTTTGTTTTTTGTTTTTCTTTTTTTTTCATCTTCATAAAAACTTCATTTCTTAATTTGACAGACAACTTTCCTACATGCATACAAAAAACCTTTCTTATGATCCAAAAAACCATGACATGTGGCATGTTCAAATTTTTGACTGTTACTGCCCTCGTTCCCTGTTACCTGCCCATAATAAATAATAAGCATAGAAACAAGGTTACCTGCTATTTCCAGGTAAATGAAGTGCAGGTTTTGTGCTGAAATATTGTGCGCAAAAGCACAACAACTTCCTAGTGAATTCCCCCCATATGTTTTGACATGTTCCTTAGTCTTGAATCAGAATAATGCATGCTTGAGAGCCACGGTGATGTTTGGAGTGAGAGTGGCAGTTCTGGAATGCTGACTCATACAGGTCTCCTCCTGATGGGCCCCTGAGAGGCCCCTGCAGCCCTTCCCCACCCTCATCTACCCTCATCTCCTCACAGGTAGAGATAATAATCTGAGGACTTTACCCCCATAATCTCTGTTCTCAGGTCAAGACTGACTCACTGGTGCACGTGATGCCCAATAATTTTAATACATGCAAGGAATGGGCACAGACAGACACGCACAGGAGATGAGATGATGAGTCCATCCAAAAATAGCCTTAGGAGCTCATTAAGAGCAAATAGTAATAATAAATTAAAGACACAGACCGTATACGCTATTTAGTGCTTACTCAAAGATCTATAACCACCACCTTAAGTAAGTTCCACTCATTAATGAAAGCATGTTGTTTTTTTACAAGACCCCCTTAAAGCAATCAACCTTTTTATGACAGGAAGAGCATGTTTTGGCCCTCTTTTTTTAGCCCAGACAAATAAAAACTCATCTAGAGAAACTATAATCCACTCATTGCACATGCAAGACCACTAATATTGAGGAACTATTCGTAAGTTTTCAATTATCTTGGAGATGAGAGGGCCAGACTGTGGCTCAGTTATAAAATCTAGTATAAATCTACCTTGTTGTCTACTGTGTGTCATACATAGAGTTTGGCATTAGCCTGTTGCTAAACTAACAGCTCTGTACTCTAATATGCTTAAAAACAAATTTTATGTATTTCTTTTTGTTCCTTTTTCTCTTTCTGTGGTTTTATTGTGTAAAATGATTGTGTAACGTGGCTTGAGTCATGGTTATTATAACTAAAATTAAAACCATAAAAACGTTTCGTTATTTGAAATAAAACTGTTAGCTGAAATAAAATAAGATTGATTTTATTTCAGCTAGTTGGCAAAAACATTTCACATTTTGAAACTTGATGTACTAAAATAACTAAAACTGAAATAAAATTAATTAAAGGGATACTCCACCCCAAAATGAAAATGTTGTCATTAATCACTTACCCCATGTCGTTCCAAACCTGTAAAAGCTTTGTTCATCTTCGGAACACAATTTAAGATATTTTGGATGAAAACCGGGAGGCTTGTGACTGTCCCATTGACTGCCAAGTAAATTACACTGTCAAGGTCCAGAAAAGTATGAAAAGCATCGTCAGAATAGTCCATTTGCCATTCCCAAAATGAAAATGTTGTCATTAATCACTTACCCCATGTCGTTCCAAACTATAGAGGAGACGAATTGTTGAATAAAGTCGTTTATTTTTTTTTTGCGTACAAAAAATATTCTCGTCTTGAAATATATTTTCATTTTAGGGTGGATTAACCCTTTAAAAACTATATAGACAATAAAAGAACAAAACAAAAAAAAATGTTGTAAAACTTTAAAATTAAAAGAAAACAAAAATAACGACTTTATTCAACAATTCGTCTCCTCTGCGTCACCATAGCGCCATTTTGGAGAGTATCCACTGAACATAAACTGCATATGCTGTCCTACTTGTCTGTGTCAGCTGCACCACACGGATACGCTGTTTTCGTTCAAATCAAAGCATAAATAAACATATCCGTGTGGCGCGGCTGACACACACGAGTAGAACAGTATACGCAGTTTACGTTCAGTGGATACTCTCCAAAATGGTGCTACGGGGGACTATAGAGGAGACGAATTGTTGAATAAAGTCGTTTATTTTTTTTTTGCGTACAAAAAATATTCTCGTCCTGAAATATATTTTCATTTTAGGGTGGATTAACCCTTTAAAAACTATATAGACAATAAAAGAACAAAACAAAAAAAAATGTTGTAAAACTTTAAAATTTAATGTATTAAAATTATATTTATTTTATTAAATTTTTTTTGGAATAGTGGCTTTGCACAAAAAGCCATCTTTGTATGTTGTATTATAGCCTCTGTTGACATGTTTGTCTTTCTTCTCTTCTGTCTTTGACTCCATAGCTCCTCACTTATTCTCAACCTTCCACACGCCGATACCTATCGACATGCGCCACCACGAGGGGAGGTACCATTACGAGCCACATCCTCTGCACCCCATGCATGGGTAAGTTTGTTAGCCACTTCAACATTCATTTTCCTTTCTTTGCACTGATGGAATCATCATTAATCAAGAAACAACCTGTTGAGTATATCTTCGATATAAAGCACACCGATTCAGAGCATGCTGTTGTCAGGTCTTGTCCAGTACATCTGTTTGTCTTCTGCCTGAAAGATTGTTCAGTTCTAGCTGTAGATGTGCAGCACATAGAAAGCAAACGTCCAAGTACTGAGAAACAAATGCCAGTGATTCAGTCAGTTTCATATCACAGACAAAATGAGTGTTTAGTACAAAGCTGATGGCATGTTGGCGTCTCATCCTTGTAGTATTTTATAGTTTTGGACAACATCTGTAAGTCTGACATTTACTGAAACGGTTTTGGCAGGTTTTGGCTTTTAAACCTGTAAATAATAAGAAAATATTTTGTCAGTTTTTATGTTGATTATGTTTGTAATAGGAAAAAAAAAAAATGTTATTTTAATATTACTGTATATATAAAATAGAAAATATGATAATTTTCATATATACAAAGACTAACATCAGTGCATCTGTGCATTTGCATTTAAAATCGCAGATTGGATAGCAATACATACAGCGAGCCCAGCGACACTAGAACAATTAATCACAAGAGCCGAAATAGTCCGAAAAAGAGAATTCCTGCCATCTCTTTATGTACTCTGGCTCCTTTGATGAATGTGACTTGGCCTTGACAGAGGCCCCCTAATTCGTCAAGACCTTGATTTAGCTGTCCTTTTCACTGCCTGTGTCCAATTCACCTAATTACATGTATATTGCACAGCAAATTAAGCACAATGTTATCTTTTGGAGGTGTATGGCAAGGGTCTGATTTAGGGATCGGACCCTAAAGCCACGACCCTACCACTTAAGATAGACATCTTTGCTACATGTAAAAGGAGTTGTAAGGGGTTTTCATAGGTAAATATTTGCAAAAATACCTCTGCATCGGTGGTAGGTTTTTTTTGTGTGTTTCTTTCAGTATGTTACAACACTATGTCAGTAGGTAGTGACTCACTTTAGGAGCGAGTCATTTATTCAACCCTTTTCAAACACACTGACTCATTCAGGACAAAACAAGTGAATGGCTTGAAGTGATTAATTGAGTAATTCTCTTAACCAATTCATTCAAACATACTGATTCACTGAAGACAGAAACAAGTGACTGTCTTAAAGAGTGATTCATTGAATTATTCTCTTAACCAATTTGTTCAAACACTGATTCATTCATAATGAAAGTGACTTTCTTGAAGAGTGATTAATTGAATTATTATCTTAACTTATACGTTCAAACACACTGATTCACCATTACAGGATTATTGCAATGTGTTGCTTGGAGACGTAGGTGGAACACAAATACAATGCCAGGGAATTAACTTCATAATTTATTGAATTGTCGTATAACAGTGGCAATTGTTTGACTTGTGACCTGCAGATTAAAATATTGGTTTCTGTATATTCAGATATGCTCAAACACACTTGCCAAAGAACCTTCCATAGCAATCAAACCTCTCCCCACAAGCGTAAATAGGAAAGAGTTAACAAATCTCGAAGATGAATGTCTAAATGTTTGTAGAGTATTTCAGCATGTAAACAGAGCAATTAGCATCTAGAATTTAGCTTTCCTTTCCCAGAACCTCAATGACAGCAGAGTGAATGAGTAAAACACATCCTCCCTTATTCACTTATTCATTTTCTTTTTAGAAAACAGATTCAGATTTCAGTGGTATTGAGAACCACCCAACATTTTTTTCAAACCAATGTACTAACAGAAACTTAATTAGTGTTTCTGTAGAGTGAGGGGAATTTTTGCACATATCTTTTGGTTTATGTGATGGTAATTGAGATTTTACACTCACACTTGGTTCATAGGTTTGCATATTTAAGTTAATACATGTTTGTAAGGTTTAGACATGCAGTACCTACTAGAGAGCATACCTCAAGTTTGGAAAAGGTTCCCACGACTCCCAGTGGCAGTTAACTGCTGTCTCTGTGGGATATGTGATTCATCTAAATCAAAACACCTGACCAGGAACACTGTTGAGATGTGTCATACTGATATTCTCTCTGGAGTCAGCAGGGAATATGCGTATTCTGGAGATTTCCACAGAAACTGCTTAATGTTTGCACATATTGTCAAAATACGAAAATGTTCGAGTTCACATACAAGAATTTCAAATGGAGTGATTGTGTTCTGCTACTATGGGCAGTTACCACCCATGGTGCAACGATGGAAGACTGCTAAAATGAAAGGTAGCTATTAAGAAGAAGCTCTCTAAATGCACCATGACATACCCTGTCTATGACTAAGGTCTCTTTAACCGTTCAAGTACCATCTTGTCAGAGAGAGGGCGTAACAACAAGACCTCAGTTATCATTCTTGTCAGTAGGGGCCCTCTTTTTCTTATCCCTTGACAGGTAAAGTTGTAAATAATGGCTTATTATTGAGGGTTCAAACACCCTGAGCAGTTTTCCTGATTTATTTATACGTTGACATGTTGTCTTGTCAATTTTGACTATCTGGCAATCACTGAGAAATGTGGGAATGTACCCAAAACTGGGTTAATTATGTTTTTGTATATTTAGGAGTTGTCTCTTGCTGTTGTTGACATACTTTCCCATAGTAGTACAATTATGGTGGGAAATGCTTCAAAACCACTGTAAATATTACTGCATTATAAATGTATGTTTTGTTTTTAATTGACATCTGTTGATCTTCAGATTGGGACACTGAAACCAGTGGTCACTATAATTACAACCGTGCTGACATTTTCTGAGGCCTTGCCATCTGTTGTGATACTCTTGTCAATGGTCAAGATGGCAACCAAAAGCAATGGCCAAGGATATAAATATGGCCGCAGATAACTCATCTTTGCTGGCAGTTTGCAAAATCATAGCACTATTGCAGGCGAATATTAATTTTGAGCACTTGCTCCAACCCCCCCTTCCACAAATGAGGGGGGAGGAGTTGGTGGTTTGTGTATGGCGAGTCTGTTTTCTTTCAGCTCCTCAAGAACAGAGACGTCTTTATGGCTATACTTTCAAGGAGGCTGATGGCAGAAAGTTGGCAACAGGACAAGCCTGGTAGTCTGCAGGCGTTTACAGGAAACTGAGCACGACTCAGGCTGGGTGCAGGTTAGCCTCCGAACAGAGATGGTATAAATGAGAGACTGAGATGAAGCCAGACTGTGCCAAGCATAATGCATCTGATACCCGCCGTTCAGACAGTCACTGTAGGCTTTGCTCACATCTCATTAAATCTACAAAAAACAGTTTATCCATTTTTGAAAAATGCATGTATTAAAGCAATGGTTTCAAACTCTGTCATCATTTACTCAGCCTCATGTCATTTTAAACCTGTATTCTTTCTTCTGTGCAATTGCAAGAGGAGATGTTAAGCAGAACGTGAGTGGTAATCAGGGCTGTAAACTACAAACATGACAAAAACACCAGGGCAATAACTTCTCTTCAGAATGTCTTAAGAAGTCATACATTTGCTTTGTGTGATAAACAGACACACATTTTATAACAAAAGTTATTTACTGAAAAAAAAACCCACAAAATAACCAATGATGTTAGGCATCATCACCGCCAACCGCTTTGCTCACATCTCATTAAATCTACAAAAAACAGTTTATCCATTTTTGAAAAATGCATGTATTAAAGCAATGGTTTCAAACTCTGTCATCATTTACTCAGCCTCATGTCATTTTAAACCTGTATTCTTTCTTCTGTGCAATTGCAAGAGGAGATGTTAAGCAGAACGTGAGTGGTAATCAGGGCTGTAAACTACAAACATGACAAAAACACCAGGGCAATAACTTCTCTTCAGAATGTCTTAAGAAGTCATAAATTTGCTTTGTGTGATAAACAGACACACATTTTATAACAAAAGTTATTTACTGAAAAAAACCCCCCACAAAATAACCAATGATGTTAGGCATCATCACCGCCAACTTAGTATTGATGTCATATTTTTAAATTCTGTTCCTCACTCAAAGCTTTTGGACAGCTCAAAAATGTTTAGAATGTAGTTATATTAACTACTTTTCTTTTATCATACTTGAATGGTGCTTTTAGTCCGTTTTTGCAGCTGGTCACCATTTGCTCTCATTGTATACCAAAGATTCAGCTTTCTTGGTTTGGAGAAACATGACGGTGAGTAGATGATGACAGAACTGTTACCTTAAGTATTTGGCACATAACTAAATACATTTTGATGGAGGCAATCTGTAATCCTCTTCATTCACATGTCAAACAAATCTAAATAACATACACTTTCATAGAAGAAACATCCCCCTTTCATTGAGGCAAAAGCTTTTTTTTCCTCTCCCGCTGAGTACGGTCTAATTTTCCTTGAAACAAAATGAATGCGTAGCTATAGTTGTAGCCTGCTTGCCATCAAATCCCCAGAAGAACCAACCATCCCCCCGCAATTTGCAGCCCGTGCGCAGAACACACCCTTGTGGAACGCAGGCTCTGATTCATACGCATGGTCATTTCCTCTCCCAGTGGAAAGTAAAGTAGTATGGGGACATAGACAGGTCTGCTTTATTTAACACTGTCTGACATCCCCTCTGTGTTCAAGATCACTCCATTTAAGGACTCAACTGCAACAAAAGAGCTCTCTGGGATGCTGGGTTATTATTGGTCAGTCACAGAATCAGCCAATCAGAATCAGTTTGACATCATGGTCCAGATCACATTTTTTGGGGTTTATTTTACAATAATTACTTTTTCTTTCAGGACCTTTGTGTAGCTCAGAGATTATGGTGATAGCAATGCCAAGGTCATGGGTTCGATTCCCAAGGAATGAATGAAGTGAAAAACTTTACAGCTTGAATGCAATATAAGGTGCTTTGGCTAAAAGCATCTGCCAAATGCGTAAATGTAAAAGAAGAACATCAGATTCTGATCTTGCTCTCGTCCAGTTGTTCAACCACTGTACACCAACATGTAGGTCATGGGTTCGATTCCCAAGGAATTCATGAATTGAAAAGAAACTACAGCTTGAATGCCGTGTAAGTTGCTTTGGTTAAAAGCATCTGCCAAATGCATAAATGTAAAAGTGGGACATCAGATTCTGTTCTTGCTATCATCCAGGTGTTCAACCACTGTACACTAACGTGAAGGTCATGGGTTCGATTCCCAAGGAGTTCATAAATTATAAAAATGGTATAGCTTGAATGTATGGAAGTCGCATTGGATAAAAGCATCTGCCAAATGCATGCATGTACTAGTAGGACAGCAGATTCTGATCTTGCTCTCGTCCAGGTGTTCAACCACTATACATTAACATGTAGTTGAGGGAACAACACACAAACATCTCTTCAAACATCTCTCTGATTCAGAAGATCAGACCGTGTGCTCTACTTTCATGAAATGTTAGAGTTACAGCTGCCTTCTGGCTGGTGTTTTTTGGACTGGCGTGCGGGCGGCGTAGATACCTGCCAAGACCTGACACATTTATATCCTCACCACGACCTGTGGGCTATCTGTGAACTTCTGCCCCACTATCTTGTTTTACACATCAGTTTCTTCAAACACTGTCTGAAAAATGGAGGGGAAGTATTAAGCAGTCTCATCATAACACTTCAGGCTTGTGTGTCTTCAGAGGTGTCCGTCCCACGCAGACATTACAACGACCATGTACTACAGCGTTCTCAGTCTGGACTTGTTCAATACCTCAGGCATAAAGGGAGGAGTAGTATGTCTACATTTGGGAGTCATGAAAAAAACATGACCAGTTTCACAGTTCACATTGAAGCCTGAAACCAGTCTGTAAAGGCCCTTTGACCCAGTTGATACTGTCAACTGAACCTGACCTAAAAATTGTTTGCCAGCAACTTCTGTCAAGAATGTAGAACTTGGCGAGTTGCACATTTTCTGATTTTAATGTATATATAAATTTGCTTCTCAGACAAACTTTTTTTTCTTTTTTTTTTAGATTTAGACATTTTGAATGCAAAACAAGACAAAATACAAAGTTTTGAAGTGTCTGATTTACCTTGGCAGTTTTTGATTTATTTTAATAAAAATTTTAATATGCAACATATTTCTAAATGAAACTGGAAAGAGATCTTGTGTGAAATTTGATTTTATTAATCACAAATTGATTGAATTGTGAAAAGTGGGCATTACATACCAAAAGGGAGCCAGACGACAGGGGGACATGGGCTGAAAAATTAAGAGGGATATGTGGCGTCATCTAAAAAGGAAAGTCAATGAATCATGAACCATAAAATCAGGACTATGCATTGAGGAAGTGAAATGGTCATTTTTGATTTCCTGATGACTATAATAATAAGTTCTGAGCTTGTTTTAAGTGAAATAATAAAGGTCTCTCTTTGACACATTGAAGAAGATTGTGATGGCATTAAGTATTTTTACGTGGCCTCAATACATGGGTTTACACAGAGGGTCCCTAATTACACTACACTTAAGCACTTAAACTATGTGGCAGCTTGTCTTTGTGTAAGAAACTAATTGAGGTCTTCTTTCTCTTTGTCTTTTGCCAGACCGCATGGATTAGCTGGCAGTCCAGTTATCTCTGATATCTCTTTTATCCGACTATCGCCTCACGCTGCAACTACCGGAGAATCACCCTTCAGCCCACCTCACCCGTATGTCAACCCACACATGGAGCACTACTTGCGATCAGTCCACAGCAGTCCCACGCTCTCCATGATCTCCGCAGCACGTGGACTGAGTCCTGCTGACGGTGAGTCTCATATTGTTCCCCATGTACCTGGGCGCTCTTGTCATTGACAAATACACTCACGTTCAATGTGATTTTTTTTTTTTTTTAAGATGAGATTACTACTTTTATTCAGAAATGTCACATTAAATCGGTCAAAACTGCCTGTACAGACATACAGTATAATGTTACAAAAGATTTAGATTTCAAATACTCTCTGCTGTTATTTTTAAATAATAAAGAAAAAATATATAATGATTTCCACAAAAATATTAAGCAGCTTAGTAGTGTTTAACATTGATGATAAGAAATGTTTTTTGAGCACCAAGTCAGCAGATCAGAATGAATTCTGAAGGATCATGTGACACTGAAGACTGGAGTAATGGCTGTTAAAAATACAGATTTGTATAAAATTGTAATAATATTTCGTAATGTTACTGTTTTACTGTATTTTTAATCAAGTAAATGTAGCCTTGTTCTACATAGGACTTCTCCTTCTCCTAAACATCTCATTTGTTTTTCATTTGAACATCTTACCAACCATCTTACCCACAAACAGTATGTTCATGAGTGTATGTTTAGCCAAAAATGTAAAATTTCATTTACATTTCATGTCTTTCTAAATCCATTTGATTTTCTTTTGTGAAACACAAAAACAGATGTTTCAAAAATGACTAAAAGCACCATAAAAGTAATGAATCATGATTTATGTGCTGTAATCTAAGTAATCTGAAGCCATTGTGTGGGGAAATACAGAAATTAAGCACTTTTACAATACAATTGTATTGTGCTTTTTGATGTTTTGGGTTCTTGACAGTTCCTGGAAACCATTTGGTTTCATTTTATGGAGTGAACATCCTATCTAGCATCTTGTTTTATGCTTGAAAGAAAAAAGAAAGTCACAGGTTTAGAATGGCATGAGGGTGAGTGGATTATAACATCTGGGACAGCCAAGGTATTTCTACAATGGCTTACTAAAAACATGCTTTTTTGTGATGCTACCTCCATGCTGTTAGATGCCAGTAGAAATCCAAGAGCCCTTTTGTATCACCCATTATACTGGCTGAAAGTGTGTTTTATGTTTGTGGGGGTATGTCTGGGAGAAGGAATAAAAACATTGGTAAGCGAAGAAAGAAAGCTAATGGTTCCACTCCTCCACAAACTGAAACACAACAGAAGCTCTCTACCATTGTTTATCTCCTTTAATGTGTCATGTATTTGGACATTAAGCATGCTAAAAACACTGGAGACCCGTTCTTATTTATGTAGGCCTGAATATGTAAATAGATGATAGTCAGAAAGAAAACAGTTTGCTGAACATTATCTACCTTGCCAAAAGCCTGGTCCTTTCAGCCTTGTTACTATAACAGGTTGAGATGAAAGATAAGTCACCAAGCACAAAGTCTTGGCAGTAATGGCTCTGCTTTCACACTTGCTTTCAGCAATGTGGAATAGATTGTGTTGGTGATTAAATGGCGGTAGAGATAATGGAAGGAGTTGAGCTTGAGTTAGTCTAAATAACAACTAAAAAGCCTCTTTCCCAACATTTCATATACACCTTGTTCCCAGCAGTTGACCAACATCTTCAAAGGTCTCGCATAAAAGGCATACAAGTGATTAATTCAATAATTTGCATAAAATTCCTTACTAATCTGAGTCAAAATTCGATTTTTTTCCCCCTCCTGCATTATACAGTCAACTAATTTCATGACAGTTGTGCAGAAGTCAATCCTGTTCTAATGTTTAACAGAAGGTCCATAAAGAAAACTGATGAAGATCGGTTGAGATGTCCCCTGCCCCAGAGCAGTGTTCTGACTGCTGATCTGCCTTCATCGGTCCACCGCCGTAGGGCTTTTTCAGCTCCGGCCTCTGCCGCACCCCTCCTCACTTCGATTCTGAGCCCCTCTAGGGACGCAGTTATACGATCCGGCGAGCGTGGAGAAAATAAACGGCCTTGTTCTGCCATGAATCCAGCACAAACACACGCCTGTTCTTTTTTAACCTCGCTAGGGCCTAATTGTTCCTGATAGAGCCGTTATGGTATGAATGGCCAAGCAGCAAGAATGAGGTGGAATCCCCCCCAATCCTGAGTGTCCCATAACTTAAGCAGCAAGGACGTGAACTGCTGTTATTTCTTCGTCGTAGGCAAGTGTTACGGAAATGGCATAGGAGGCACTAATGGTTATCTGACCTAGGCAGAAAGAAAAATAAACATATCCTTTGCATGTATTGCTTTTGACACCTTTAGTCTGGGGTTTACTAGGTGCTGGTGTTAACAAATTTACCCAAGTTCAGGCAAGGAGAAAGCACCACTTTTTACTTGTAAACATACTTCAAGATGTCTGCTGTAAACTATATATCTATATAATAGTTATTTTTTTAAACAGACTTTATTTTTTGTTCAGCAAGGTCAAAAAATTGATCAAATTTTTTAATTGATACTAAAGATTTCTATTTTAAATAAATGCTCTTCTTTTAAACTTTCTATTCATCGAAGAATCCTGAAAAAAAATGATTTTTTTAGTTTTCACAAAAATATAAGCAGCATGTTTTTTGAGCACCAGACTGAAGGCTTACGGCTGCTGCAAATTCAACTTTGCCATCAAAGGAATAAATAACATTTTAATTATATATTCAAAAAATATATATAGTTATTTTAAATTGTAACAACATTTCATAATATTTTTATTTTCTATCTTTTACTGTATTTGTACAGATTTTGCTTATTATATTATGTAAATGATTTATAAAATAAATGAAAAGGAAGTCATATTAATGTTAATATTTTAGTATTAATATTTAATATTTAGTTCTTTCAATGTTGTGAAACAATTTTCAACATTACACAGCATTTATAATAATATTTCCTATCTGAAGGTAACACTTACTGTTAATATTAGTTCAGCAACTCGCACAACTTGGCTTACAAGATGCTTCGTTTAATAATTCATGGCTAATCATTAACCAGACTATTTAAATAGTTTTATTCATTTGAATTTTTAAGGTATTAACCATTTTTAATGCTAAAAACAGAATAAAAAAAGTCTCAATTTTCTCATGTACTGTACAGTACTGTACATCTCTCAGTCATAAGCAGCTGTATAACATGTCTTAATACTGTATATGGCCATGTGACAAAACATTGTACAGGGGACGGTACATCAAGCTTCACCCTCCGCTCCCCATATGTGTGTATGCAAGGGTGTAACTTTGGTTTGAGAAGTGGGGGGGACACAAAATGGGGGAAAATGTTTCCGATTTGAATCCCATTTCCTGCTTTTACATACATTTATGGACTGTGGTGATACAAAATCCAGGAAATAATTAAGTTGATTATAATGATAAATTCTGCCAAAAATAATAGTAGGAAAATGCTGACAGAAAATGCGCGGTTTAAAGTGGACTCATTTTCATGGTACACAGAATGTTCTACATCAGTGGTTCCCAAACTTTTTAGAGTGGAGTACCCCCTGAGGCATTTACCATCCTTCAGCGTACCCCCTCTCTTCCACTTAGACTGCACCTTTTCCATTAAAGGACAATATTTGCCCCCTAAATGGACTTTACAGTGCATTTTTTATCTTTATAAATACGATATTAATAATGTTTTAAATAAAATAAAATGTTCAATAGAGTAGTAATAAGCAATGATGATAAAAAAGTGAAAAGTGAGTCTTTTAAATACTAAAAGCACCAGTAGGTGGCGGTAAGTCACTGTCTTAATGCGTAAGTCATCGAGTCATTCGTTCATTCAGTAACGAAGCAAGTGGCTGTATATATGAATGAATCATTGTATCATTGACTTTCACGACATCAGTGGTTCCCAAACTTTTTAGAGTGGAGTACCCCCTGAGGCATTTACCATCCTTCAGCGTACCCCCTCTCTTCCACTTAGACTGCACCTTTTCCATTAAAGGACAATATTTGCCCCCTAAATGGACTTTACAGTGCATTTTTTATCTTTATAAATACGATATTAATAATGTTTTAAATAAAATAAAATGTTCAATAGAGTAGTAATAAGCAATGATGATAAAAAAGTGAAACGAAGCAAGTGGCTGTATTTATGAATTAATCATTTTATCAATGACTTTCACGAACGATTTGTTCACGTAACACCGCAAAACCCCACGTACCCCCTCTGTCGCCTCACGTACCCCAGTTTGGGAACCACTGTTCTACATTAAATATTTAGCTAACAGTCTGAAGTTAACGTTAGCTCAGTCAGCGTTAGGCTAACATCTACAGGTGTAGGCAAAAAATATGATTATCCTGACCTGAGCTAATTTACTGAATCAACCAACTCACATCTCCTTTCTTTCTTTTCATCCATGATGACATTAAAGTCATCTGTTGCGGCTTCTGGCGTTTCATCGCTGACTGCCGCAATCGCGATACCCGCTCATTAGAACTTTATTAGAGTGTGCACGCAATGTTCCTGGATCCGCACGTCTGTGTCCTGCTCGGTCCTGCTCCTCCGTGACAATGATGGCGTGCGGTTAAAAAAAATCATAACAAATGAATTTGAAAGTGGGGGGGACACAAACGGGATTTTGAAAAGTGGGGGGGGCGGGCATGTCCCCCTGTCCCCAGTGGAAATCACGCCCTTGTGTGTATGAATCCTAAAATACGAAACTCTTCTCTTCTCTGTCTGAGCAGTGACCCACGAACACCTGAAGGAGCGGAGCTTGTTTGGCCTGCCCCCTCCCCCGCCAGGGGCCAACCCTTCAGAGTACTATCACCTCATCGCCAGTCACCGCAGCCCTTATGGAGACCTGCTCATGCCGACGGCGGCCGCAGCTGCTCATCTCCCTGACTACATGAGCCCAGTGGACAGTGAGTTACACACCCTGAGTACAGCACTAACCCAATCCATAATGTCACCTAAATGGTCAAAATGTGTCAGATTTTTTTTTTGTTTTTGTGCTGAAAGGCTTTCTAACCAATATACTACATCCATAATGTCACCTTCAAGGTCAAAATGTGTGAGATTTCTTTGTTTTTGTTCTGAAATGCTTTCTCCTGATCCATATGACAGCTTTAAGTAAGCCATGAGTTCCCAGGGTCCCAGACCGCAACTAAAATAGTCGCAAACGTGACAAAATACAAATTTGTGATAATAATGTCAAATATAATCGATATTAGCCACAGAGGGGAGAACTTTGTGTCAGTTTGTAGCCTAGTCAGATTTTGTCTTGTGGGGAGGCATCGGTTAACACTAATATAACTCTACATTTATGCTAGGCTTATGCTAATATCTTTTATATAGCAATGCATGAGAAAGCAAGATGTACTTGAATTGCGACATTTCGGAATGCACCAACACATAAAAACTGAATTAGTGTAGCCAGAATCGCTTGCGTTCACATATTTTCGTTGAGTATTTCTCTGGTTTTAAATCAGATGAAATACTAACATCTTTATATGGCAGCATGCAAATAAAGATATGTTTTTTTTTAAATACTCAATGATATTCTTTCTAATATAAAAAAAAAAATTAAACACTATTATGCTATTTAAATTTCCCAACAAAAAAGGCTTGTAAAAGTTTAATTCTATGAGCCAGTGGCTCCCATAGGGCTCAGTTTTTGAATATAGACCCCTGCTTCTCCAAAAATGTAAACACTGTGGTTTTGTGGTGATTTCAAAATATTGCTCTGTTGGTTTGAGTGGGCCAACATGTCAACTTCTAGCTCATCCAGTGGTGTTCTGAGCAGGACTACCTGTTTTCGAGCAGAAGCAGAGGGGGAGTGTATGGAAAACCTGTTTGGAAATAATCTTTATTCTTGGAGTTCTGTTTAGTATCACTGTAACTTCATATTAATCTAAAAAAAAAAGAATCTAACTTAAGCAAAAGTATCTAACTTAAAAGGACCCAGAGTAGACACAGCCAGTACCTGTGTTATTTTTGTATAATTGATATACTGTTATAGTTTGTGTAAATATTTTCAATGTTTTTCAATAGACTTTCAGTTTTCACATTAATTTTAGTTAGTTTTAGTCATTTTTTGTGTGTAAACTTTTGTAATATCAAATTTTGTTATAGTTTACATTTGTTTTTAATTCCAGACAAAAAAAATTTTTTTAATGATTTTAAATTTACTTTGAGTTAACGAAAATAACTGGGCAGTACAAGTAGGCTAGCTAACTAATTTGCTACGCTCTGCAAAAAAATTGTGCTAAACATCAATAGATACAATATTTTCACATCAAAGAACAAGTCTTTCAATCTTCACCTGTGTATAAAACATGACTCACATGGAAAGCGGCTGTAAACATGAGCCATCTCAACAATTTATGAGGCGTTTCTGTTATGGCTTCTAATTCAGATTGGACTGCAGGTGTGATGCATTATTATAAGTAACATTCGACTTCCCTCAAACCTCACCTTAAAAGGGAAATACAATGTTTAGATGGAGACAGATTTTTTTTTACCATGGCTGTAATGCCAGGACTTTCATCTCTGCTTTTTTGTTTTCAAGGATGTGTTATGGCAGCTATGTACCCCCTCCTGCTTCTTTGTAATGTGATCCAATTAGTCATGTAATGGACGGGTGTATGCTCTTGATCTTGTAAGGTCCCGATTATGCCTGGCTTAATAATGTGGCTTTGTTAAAAGATGCCCAGAGGGTCGCTATTGCATGTTGTTGCGTAATCTATAGGGGTAAACCAGGGCGAGCAGGTTGCAGGTCTTGTGGTGCCAAGCAGGTTTTCGGCTCTCATCCAGAGTTTCAAGGAGAAATACAGTGTTGTGAATGGGTAACACTGTGAGAGAGAATGAAGGGGAAGTCAGTGTAGGGTATCTGCTCAGGAAACTTGCGATTGTAAATAATCAAGCTGGCACACACTCTTGCTTTGAACCAGTCCAGCCACCCACAGTAACTCTTAGTGCCACAAATCCACGCACCCTCTCAAATCGCATGTCCCAATTACTTCCAATCACTAATCAAACACGATTCTCTGCGTTTTTATGACCGTAATGAGTCGGTCATGATAGTTCCTGCATTTCTAACCACTAACGCTGGCCGCCACGGAGCTGACTGCCCACAGTTTGTGTAGTGAGGCTTGTTAGCTCAACAGCGCAGGGCTTTCTCCTTCCCGGCTCGAGTCTTTGGCCTTCTCCTCTGCCTAGCTTGATGTGGTCTCACTCTGGGCACTCAGGTGTTCACAGCTCTCCACACTAACCCACAGACACAGGGCTTTCATTGATGGCCGGTGTCAGCTCATGGTGCGGTGGCATAAAGCAAGCCCTTCAGTAGAGCGAAGCCCTGATAAATATGCATTGCAGGGCTTAGCGTTTGTCTTGGAATGGTGTGGCGATAAAATTTGTATGCGTATTTAAAAATCAATTTATGTTCTAATAAATTCAGCAGACCCACCACAAGAGTCAGTGTTCAGCATGCACAAAGTGGCCCTCTTGTTTTTCCCTTCATGATTGCCATTTGCCCATTAGCTGACTTGGAGAGAGAAGGTTCAGGTTTTCCTGTAAATGGTGATCGTTGTTGTAAAAAATGAGAAATGTGCACATGGAAAATCTGTCCGGCTTGACATTAGAGCCAACATGTGCAGTACTGTAAATTTATTTGGACATTTGGCAGTTTTACATGCACTACTGGGTCAAACTGAGACGTTAACTGGAGTCATGCGACATTGAATAGGTTGTTATAGACTTCAATGTACGACAAAATAAGCATTCTGACATTTCATATAGCTGTAAAGGTCACGATTACTACAAACTCCTATATATGAAGAGTTTATTTGCAAAAACAGATAACTCCGTTTTCTTTTAATTTTCAAAAATCATGTTTTTTATTGTTATCATGTTTTCATTGTGTTTTATTGTGTTAGTTAGATGTATTTTTAAGTAATTTTTACTTAATCAAAATAACCCAAATGCAGTTTGACTGAGATTAATTGGAATGCACAATGAAAAAAAATTATTTTTGAAAATAGTTAAAAACAGAGTTATCTGTTTTTGCAAATGAGAGATATCTGTTTTTGTAAATAAACTCTCTATATATATATATATATATATATATATATATAGAGAGAGAGAGAGAGAGAGAGAGAGAGAGAGAGAGAGTATATGTAAACACACACATATGAATTGTAACTACATGAGTGAAATTATTTTTTTTAAATGATCAAATCTCAGCATTTGTTACGCTATGTGTTTTTATTATTTTATTTTATTGTTTGTATTTTTATTTTGCAATTATTTTTTATAATTGTTATTATATTAATATATAGTTAAAATATAATAAAATAATTCTAAAATAATATTTTAAACAGATAGATAGATAGACAGACAGATATATTTTTATTTATATTTATTTATTATTGTTCAGTTATTTCACTTTAATTGTATAGAAAAGGACCTATACATTGCCATTAGAGTAAAATTACTGAACCTAAACATAGCAGCCTGATAAAAATGCTAATTTTAGACGAAAATTTCAGATGGCACTTAGAGGCTTTTGCATCTGAACTCTTCATATATATATATATGTTTACGTATATATATATATAATGAAGTGAATGCTGATATGTTTCACTCATGCAGTAGCTCACATGCACAGACTTTGGTGCTGATAGCAGTAATTAAAACAAATCTCTCATCATTAAATATGCTTAGCACGTAACCCCACATCAGTCATCTATAACTATAAATGTAAGAGTAAACTCTTAAGACATAAGAATGATGGATCATCACCCCGTCTTGAATTTAAACCCCAAAAGCTTTGAATACATGTAGCTCACTCCTGCGGATCACTGCTCCTCCTGGCAGCGATGTGAACGCCAAGTGCATTTGCCCGAACAGGCCCCAAAATAACAAATAGCAGCAAACAATGAAAGGAGTCGGCGTCGGCTATGAGTGCACGTCTTGCTTAAACGCTCCATTGCTGTGCCAAGTGCATGTGCATGCCAATGCCGTGCACTTAAGATGTTAATTATGGTCTCCGCCTGACAGGGCGACACGCCGATTGAAAACACAGTCGCCACTAAAACCAACACAGCCGCATTTCCCCATCACACCCAGACGGGATTTTACTCAATGGGCACGTTCCTTAGGCCCTCTTTGTGTACTTTAAGTGAATCTATTGCGCATGCAATGTTATGAGAAGTCTCACTCGATGCTTCTCAATGGGTGAGATGGGAAATGCTGGCTGGATGGATGAACACGTGAATAAATAAATCACCACAGCCTCCGGCTCACAGCCAGACTCTGCCTGATACTCAAAACAGCAGGATAATAGGTTGAACAGACCTCTGTTTCAATTCAGCTCTGCTTCTCCTCTCTGTGTTGAAGTGAAGAGGTCTGCAGCCTCTAATTGAGTTGCTTACACTGGAATGCTTTAAGATTATGAATGGAAAGAGGAGGAAAACAAATGCTGAACTCATTTGTGTGGCATAGCCAGCGGGGAACTGTTTAAGGTCCCGTGATAATAGGTGCTGCCAAAGCAAACGTCTGCTGTCCGACTACAGGCAGGACTGTTTGGGAGCAGAGGTTTTTTTGGTGTAAAGGGAGGGAGTCTAGTCACTACTGCAGCTCAGGCCAACATGCTCACACATACACAACAGACACTAACACGGGGGCTGCTGCTGTACATATACATACACTATATACAGTATATATAAATTACATTTTCAAATATATTTAAATAGAAAACAGTCGTTTTAAACTGTAATCATATTTCACAATATTACTAGTTCACTAATCCCTGGTGAGCATAAGAGAGGCTTCTTTCAAAAACATTAAAAAATCTTACCAACCCTAAACTGTTGAACTGTAGTATATTGCATAATTGAATTATTTATTGCAGAATATTTTTTCAGTACTTTTATTTAGGTATTTATCTATTATGATTAGTTGCACTGTATTATTTGCACGATATACTTTTTTTTATTGATCCCCAAACGGAAATTAAAGAAGAGAAGGAACATAAGAATAACACCTTCCAAATAAATTTTTCTGGCATCCCAATAAAAACATCAGAGCAGATGCCTAATATAATTGCCCCTTTTGTAAGCGCCTGTAATTATAAAGCCGTATATCAGGCCAGATCCTCAATTAGAAGCACCTCCTCCTACCCACCATTCCCCATCCCACAGGGTCGACAGGACTGCCTGAGCCAGCCTCTGCCACCACCACCTCACAGCACTGCACATCTGGTTTAGCGCTCTCCCAGAAACCTGTGCACCCCTAAATTAGAGACACTGCCTATAAAAACAAACCATTGCAGAGTGTGTGGGACTCAGCAGCTGAGGGAAGGCCAGGCACTGCTACCCCCTGCTGTTCTCTTCAGTCTGTGGGCAGCGGCCTGCTAAGTGCTGCCACACGTCGTCCTATCAACGTGGCAGTCACTCAGCAAACTCTGCACGTTCTTAGACAAAATCTATTAGGGTTTTTAGATAAATATGTTTAGATTTTTTAGGTATAACTCTATTAAGAGGCATTCTGTGTGTGTGTGTGTGTGTGTGCATGTTTATGTGGTTTATGAGGACACAAATTTGTATAATAACATGGGTATGACATAGGTATTACAACGAGAAGGTGATTTATGAGGACATTTTCAGTGTCCCCGTAATTCAAAAGGCTTATAAATAATTCAGAATTAGTTTTTTTGAAAATCTAAAATGCAGAAAGTTTCCTGTGAGGGGTAGGTTTAGGGGTAGGGTTGGTATAGGGCAATAGAAAATACGGTTTGTACAGTATAAAAACCATTACGCCTATGGAGAGTCCCCATAAACCAAAAAAACAAACCTGTATGTGTGTGTGTGTGTGTGTGTGTGTTTTTTAATACTAAATGACAACCAAAATGAAAAGCAAAATTCAAGTTACTTGACTTCTGTCATCCTGTGGTTTGCTGTCTGACCCCAGGCACGCAAACTATTGCTGCTCCTCTCCAAACACTAAATTAAACTATTTTTTATTATGTGGCTGAAACAAAAAACAGAATTGTGAGATATAAACTCAATATTGCAAGATTTAAACTCGGAATTTCAAAAAAAGAGTTTATATCTTACAGTTTTGACTTTTATCCTAAGAATTGCTCGTTAATATTTCTCAATTCTGAGTTGTTATCTCGCAGTTATGAGTTGTTATGAGAACAAAAGAATTGTGAGATCTAAACCCAAAATTGTGAGGGAAAAAAATTCATGTTTGTGAGATAAAATATTGACATTGCCTTTTGCTTTTTTTTATTCTGTGGCAGAAATGGGCTTCAGTACAAAGGTGATGTGTGTAATTTCTGTGTAAAATACTTTCTCCTCCCAGTTTAATATGCAGAGACTTCTATAAGCAAGCGATTCAAAGGCTAGTTCTTGAGGAAAGTGTAAGAGATTCCATCTCATACTACTTGTTCATCAGTCATCAATGCAAGTTAAGTGCATTGAATTATGGGATACAGTATTCCACAAAGTAAGCTCTGTTGTATATTTTTCATGCTCATTTTGACATGTAGTTGGTGTTTTGAATATCCCACACATACAAGAAATTTGCATACTGTATAGTAAACCTACTATATACTTAAACAGTAGTAGTTTGTAGTATATATACTATATACTTAAATAAGAGTAGTATGGTAACATGCTATTTTGAACATAGCCAGTCATTATTTTTTTGATGTAGCGGTGCAGAAATTGCGCGTTTCACCTTTGAATGAAGCACTGAATGTGCATACAGGCATTTGGATCAAATGTCAAAATCTCACTTTTTTTATATATATATTTGTGTAACAACCTATAATAGTTGCTGTTTGCAGGGTACATCAAAACAATTTCTTAAAGAATGGCAGGGGGAGTAATTAACTGGTTGGAGGTTGTAGATTTGTGAGAGTTTGACAGGCGTCTGTTTGAAATGTCAGTGGAGGGTTTTTTGTGAGGTGCTTGTGTTTGTGTGTAGTTTAATGGAGCCATTACATGTTTCCTGTTGTAGCACCTTTGCTGATGCCCCCCTGGAGGGCAAAAAGCCTCCTTGCCCGAATGCTGTTCTCTGTCCTCTTACACCAGGCCTAATGCACAGCACCTGTTTACTACAGCGCTGGGCACGTGTACATGGAAACACGGCCTTTGGATAGACACTCACTTGAAACTGAAATGTAAAAGATCAATTCTACAGTTTATACATTTTTTGGAAATTTTATATTTCTCTTTAAAAGGTTAGTCAAGATTTCTACCTCCAAAATGTCACAATGTGGTATTTTTGAGGTAATTTAGTCATTTTTTCCCCTAAAATTACCAGGTGGGATATATATGTGGGATACGGTTGTGATGATTTGTAATTTAGTTTCAATAAATTATATATATATAAATATCTGCATAGAACATTGAACTTGAAACTCTTCACTTTTATTTCAAGTGGTTGTGAACTCTATATATATATATATATATACTGTATATACATAAATATCACAGTTTTTTTCTGTATTTCTTAGTAAATAAATGCAGCCTTGGTGAACAAAAGCATTAATATTATTATTCTTGGGTCTTTAATAAACTTTATATATATAATTACCAGAGAAAAGCCATTGCTAAAGCATCTTTTCAGCATTCCACACTTTATTTGCTTGCTTATTTGCCTTATTTTACTTTCAGATCAGTGTTGTTAAACAGTATCTGTTTGGCATTCTGCTGAACAACCCATTGGCTGAGATTGGTATGATAAACTGATAAATTATTCATAGTGATTTGTATGCAAGGCAGCATAGTAGTGGTGCTGGAGATAAAGAGAATTGAATGTCCCACACAGATCTCTTTAAGGTGAGAGTGAAAAAAGTGTCTTTTCTCTGCAGTGTCCCGTTTCCCCAGTCCCAGACTGACGCCGAGGTTGAGCAGGAAGCGAGCGCTGTCCATCTCTCCAGTCTCGGATGCCAGCATCGACCTGCAGACCATGATCCGCACCTCGCCCAACTCTCTGGTGGCCTACATCAATAACTCCCGCTCCAGCTCGGCTGCCAGCAGCTCTTACGGCCACCTCTCCGTTGGGGCCATCAGGTACAGGAATGCCCATCTGTGTTGATTTTTCTTGTAAATGTTTTTGCAGGTTGCCCATTGTTTGAACTAACACAAAATGTGACTTTTTTCCTTCTTCACGTCTCAGTCCCTCCTTTACGTTCCCACATCCTATCACACCGGTTGCATACCACCAGCTGCTGTCCCAACAGAGAGGTCTAAATGCGTTTGGACACACTCCCCCTCTCCTACAGCCTTCTCCGTCCCTCAGCACCAGGCAGACACTGGTGGCAGCAGCTGCTCTGACCAACAACAACAGCACCGACACAAACACAGAGTCCAGCCAGGTGATTTTACAGAGATTTATGGTTTCTATACATATACATCTAGACTCAAGGTTCCTAAGGTATTGAGAAACCTGGAAATTGTATAATATAGTTTATTAAGTTTGTTTGTTTTATGGAAATTTTTGCAAGTATGCATTAAATTGATTAAAAGAGGCAGTAATCATGCGAAGAAGTTGAACATGCATATTGTTTCACTACAATATTAAGCAGCACAACTGTTTTCAACATTGATAATAGTAATTGTTATTAATAATAATAATAATCTAAACATTTCTTGAGCAGCAAATCAGCATATTAGAATGATTTCTGAAGGATCATGTGACCTTTAAAACTGGAGTAAAATTCAACTTTGCCATCACAGCAATAAATGACATTTTAAAATATATTAACATAGAAAACAGTTATTTCAAATTTGAATAATTTCACAATATTACTGTTTTGACTCTATTTTTGATCAAATAAATGCAACCTTGGTGAACATAAGAAACACCTTTCAAAAACATTTAAATAAACGTACCATCCACATACATTTGAACAGTATTGTATAATGTTTAAGGATGTGTGAATAAATAGTAATTCTTTCTGATACAGCTAGACTTATTATTTTCATGTTATGGCCAATAACCAATAATTGCCAAAATGATAATTTTATACTAGTTTTTCAAAATAAATAAAAAATTAAATACTGTATTCATGTTGACATTTTCAGCTTTTTTTAAGAATAAGTGTTAAATGGTGGCAAAGATGGATAGCATGGATATAGTGTTCCAACAGCACTAACCAACATAAACAAACCTAAAAATTCATGCTAATCTGAACTGATCTTTTCATTCATCCCCATTTTTCCCCAACTCTGTGTAATGCTCATCGACCAAGAGCTGCTGTCACTTCCATGTAAACAGAGTGGCCATCCAGAATATAAACTTCCTCTGACCTACTCTCAGTCGGTCCAGACACTCTCCAAATCAGTTTTCATTCCGGCTTTATTGCTGATCTCCAAAACACACACACGCACTATAGTTATGAGAAACACATTTCCCACACTTTTGAGCAAACCATGTCAGGGTTATTGAGTTATAGAAAACATGGGCCTCTGCCATACTGTAGTGGTTGGGAGGAAAGGCACCACTTCAACGCAGAGCCTGCGTGTTGAGAGAGACTGTCTGTTGAATTATGAATCCATCTGAGGATCAAAGTCTGTAGCTGCTCTCTGGGCATAATAATTTCTTCCTTTTCATATTTCCATCTGACAGATGCTCATAGTGCAGTCTAAACTGTTTAGTCTCTGCGGCGAGTTGCTTTGTGAAATATGGCATCTGGAGCATGGTGCCTTTGTAGGCGTGAAATCACCACTCATGCCAGCAGCCAAACCATCGACATGGTGGCTCCAATGTCTCTTCCCTTGTTCTCTTGTAGAATGCTGGTGGAGACCCGGCTGTCAGCAGCACGGTCAACCCTTTGATCTTCAAGAGGTCAAAGGTGAAGATTGAAGCAGATGGACCCCACCCCATCTCACCTGGTTCTCAGGTTTGTGGAATCTTATCTACTGTCACTTTAGGTCACATTAAGGTTTTTAAGCTTCAAAATGGACTCGAAAGAACCATTAAAGTGTCGTAGAAATGGTCTATACGATTTTTACTCTATTCCTCAAGTCATTTGAAGCCAAATGATAGCTATGTATGTAGCTATAGTCCAATAGTAGAGAGTGTGTCTCGGGGTTCTGGTGCTGTAAGGTCAAGGTGCTGTCTGGTCTAGGGTTTATAACAGTCCATCAAAGAATACTTCAGAATGACCATGGCACTCTTGTGAATTAAAAAGCCTTTATTAGCAAATGGCTACATCCAATAAATCTAAAAACTCTTTAAAAAAACTTTAGGAAAAGTTTTTAGATTTCTTGGATGTAGCCATTTGCTAATAAAGGCTTTTTAATTCACAAGAGTGCCATGGTCATTCTGAAGTATTCTTTGATGGACACCTACATTTAAGTTGTTGTTCACTGAAAATCTCCATGAACAAATTGTTATTTGAGTCAGTTTTCTTTCAATAAATCATTGAGATAACATTGCATTTCTGACCAGTGTTGTTGTTGTTCAGTATATTATACATTTTGTTGATTGAAATTAAATCAGATTTTAAAATGATTAACTAAATTAAATATAAAAAAAATAAATGTAAATTTAAACTAATTGGCAAATAACCAAGATAAATTTGTACTAAAATTACTCAAATAGAATTTAAAATGAATTAACGCTAAATAGAAATATTAAAAACGGAAAATATAAAAATAAAAGCTAAGTATACAAAATATTAATAAATGCTGAAATAGTATATAAATAATACTAAAATAACAGAAGTCTGAGTTATGAGGTGGGCATCTGTCATAACTTCATAAAGACCCAGCTATATATACAGATGTGGCCATTGAAAATGCGCGCTCAGAGGGAAAGGATCACATGTGACCACGGTGTGGCACACAGGACCACAGGGAATGCTCTAACACAGGAAAGACATGATCAGTAAGGGCAGTCACGTAACGTACTGTACTGAAGCAGCAGAGCACAATTAACATGGGCAAGCTGTAGTCTACTAAAGTTTATTGCATGCACTGTGCAAAGGCCAATAAAATATTCATGATTCTGTTATCAATAGTATTTATCATGACGTAAAAGTCGCTTTCCCATAAAAGTATTACTCTACAGCGCTTATTTTTATGTCTGCATCATCTAAAATCACCATCTAAAACTTAGCTTAATGTGGTTAACCACTACGACTCGAAAACCAACATACAGTACTTTTTCTCTTATTTACACTAAGAGAACAAACAAATTAACAAAAGAATGGTTTTTTTCAACCACGAGAGTGGCTTAGTTAGTAAGTACAGGTTAG